GTGTGAGCGGCGATGGGCTGGCGCCAGGTTTGATCATCTCTGCTCAGGACTGCCCCGCGAAAATCCTGAAGAGGAAAGCGGGAGGAATGAATGGAGAACATTGTGTGTTCGTGTGCCGGGCTAGATCAGTTGCATTAAATTCAGAGCCTTTCTGAGTACAATTAATAGTCATTTTATTTAGGTCACCCTGGTTTTGTTGCTTTAAATGTATGCCTCCATTAAAGTAGAAGAAAATCAAATACATTTATCTCTGTGGAGCCTTTTGTGAACTGGTTGGGCATATTTTAAATAAGCCTGGGAATTGTTAGGATTATTAAAGCCTTTGGCTCCTCCAGTTTTTTTTCTTTCCTCCTATTCTCCCCTATTCCTCCTTCCAGGCAGTGATTAAAGAAGTGGTATAGCCCTTCCTTTTCTCAGAGCCCCAAGTGGCTTGGGGAAAAAAAAAAAAGTTAAATAAACTAAAGCCCATTAGTTAGGCTTTATATAAGAAACTGGGTCTAAATTGGATGTATGTATGGGGTATGCTGGGACAGAGGAGAAGCCTGTTGGGCTTAAGTGTCCATTTGTAACTGGTATTAGCTGGCAAGTCTCTTTTTTTTTTTTTCCTTTATTTACCTTAAGTGCTAAGACTGTGTTCATTTTGTAATACGCTCTCATTTGGTGCCGATAATTAGTTCAAATTAATCAGCTCCTTTAAGCCTCCATATTGAGCCATTCTACATCCGAAAAGAGAGAGAAGTTTTGATTGCCAGCTGCTTTCTGAGTGCGCTGGGTGGGACGTGGCTCTCTGCTTGGTGGCTCAGCGTCTGACACCTATACTGGTGAAATTCAGCTCTTTACTGGTGTGGTGTTTGTCGCCGTGCCCAGAGAAGATGCTTGCAGGAGGCCCCTTTTGTAGCTGATGACAGGGTTCAGCTGACGGCGCGTGGTGGGTGATCAGCCCTGGGCGTACCCCAGCCAAGTCTTGGAGGTGGTGGTTGCATCTTGCGGTTCTGTGTCTAACCCTGGAGAAAATTGTCTTCTCTTTTTTAAGCAAGGCGCTAGTTGCATGTTTTGAGTTGAGACCTGGAAAACATGCTGTTCGAGCGTCTTTAAAATATTGGGCGAGCAAGGGAGCCTCGCACTGGAGGAGGGGGTTAACTTTTGGACGGTCACAGCTCCTGAATCTACTTGAGTCTGTGGGTTGGTTTTGGTTTTTTTTTCCCTTCCCGTGAAATAGGGATCAATTTGCTTACTACAGGGTTTACTGCCGGTTACCTTGACTGTGTCCCTTATTTCTCCTTGATGAAAACTTGAACAAGCCGCTTGTGTTTGATTCACAGAGAACCGTGAGAAACGGGCTGTGTGTGTGAGGCAGTGTGGTTTTCTCATTCTATTCAGCCCTTTGTATATTCAAATTCTTCTAGTTTCAGTTCTTGCTGTTCTGCCAGATTTCCATACCATTGATGGGCTTTCTGAATTAATAAGTTTCTTTCTCCCCCTCCCTCCCATACCCTCGCCACCTTTTTGCAACTGGTGAAAAGTTTTTCTAAGCGCGCTGCCCTCTCCATATTGATTTTCTTCTCTTGCTTGTCTAACCAGCTCTTAGATGTTTTATTTTGCAAAGCATTAATAGAATTTTCCTTTTGCCATTGCACTTTATCTATTCAGGAGGTTTCAAGAAGTCTCATTGTGTCACCGGACTATGGAGGAAAGAGGCTATTCTTCTGTTACAATGGCTGCCCTGAAAAATAACGCAGGGTGGGGTAAACTCAGAAAGGGCAGAGACGGAGATAAAATGTTCTGACCTTAGGAAACAGAAAAGATAACCAATTAGACATTGTTGAAAGGGCACCAGCTGGCTTAAAGAACACCCCACTGATTATTTTTTCTTAAAGGCATGCTTGGTCCACATCTGAAACTCAGCTGCTTGCCCCCTTGCAGGGTTTCAGATCTGAACTGGCGGGGCTGACCCTGTTGTAGGTAGCTGCGCGCCCAGTTCCGATCCCAGAAGTAGGTACTGCTGCTTGGGGGGATGAAGCGCCCACCTCCAGGGTATCCGCGCTCTTCGGGGTCCCAGCCAGCACGATGGAAATCTCCTGGATTAGCCCATGCAGGCTGCGTTTGTTACTGCTAATAAGGATTTATTTGCATAAAAAAGATCTCTGCCAAGATCATCATTCCAGTGAAGCGGGGCCTTAGTACACATGGCACAAAACGTTGTTTGCCCAGAGGACGTGTATCTGGTGGGTGAGACGACGTGTCACGTTGTACGGGTGGGAGAGGCAAACAAAACTGCAGATCCCCAGTATGACCAGGAACCGGACCCAGAGCCCCCTCACCCCCTCCGGTGCCTGGTCCCATGCCAGGACCTGTCTCTTCTCTGTCACAGCAGCACTTGGAGGAGCAGGATGAGACTGCACAAGAGGTTCAGACCCATGGTGGTGCTGCTGCGGGCCACAGCTGAGCCCAGAGAGGGTTTTGCACCCTGTAGCTCAGGCTTCAGCCTACTGGGAGACTTCGGGTTGAGACATGAGGTTAGAATCTTGTTGTGCCTCATCTTATGTCTCTTCTTCACCTAACAGCAATACAAGCAGCCTTTTTAAAGTCCCCGGTAATGTCCTTGCAGGAGGAGGTGTCATTTTGAAATGTGCGGATCCAGCCAGGAGAGCCTGCGCACAGCGGCAGCCTCCGGGTCGGGGGACGGAGGACCTCCCTGGGCTGGTGGGATCTGTGCTGCAGTGCGTCTAAGACCTCTCTGGGCTCTGGTATGGGATTTGAGGCAGAAAGGTTACGCTGGAAGAGTTGCACGTTAAAACTTCTGCAACAGCAGTTGGCGTGGGGACAAAAGGGTGGTCAGCACACTCATGTGGACCGAGGCCGAGGAAGCCGCGATGCTCTAGGAAACAGCATTAGGTGCAACATGTAATTTTTGGTTCCAGTGAGGCCAAGACATGTGAGAATGAAAAATAAAGATTGCTGTGCAAACGTAACCCTGGAGCAGAGATAAGCGGTGGTGGTAGGGTGAAGGGCAGTTCTGCCCTTATTTGCCTCCTGGTATTGCTTGTACCTGTGAGTTTTCTTCCTTGACATGAAGAAAGACAGCAGGACAAATGGCTCTGTGCTTAATGTGGTTTGGATTTGTCAGTGCATCAGCATCTTTAGGTCTCATTCAAGACGGGTATCAAGGAGGCATGCTGTTCTCCTCTATCTCAGGCCATTTCTAACACATTTTGCAAACCACTTTGACTGAAAAAGTTGAGGACAAGTTAACCAGAAACAGGTTTTTAGATGAGCTTAGGTATCATGTAAGGTTTTGCTGCACTGTTTTTTTGTTTTTTTTGTTTTTGGTTTGGTTTTTTTTTACTATCTCCTGGAACATATTTCAGTCCTGAAGTTAAGAGAGGTTCAAGCTGTGTTTTTACCACCTTCCCAAAATATGTCTCTGCCCAGCCAAGACTGAGATTGTAATTCTGCACAGAAGTAGGCTGGATGTGTGTTCCCCTGCATAAGAGGACTACAGTCCAACTATACTCCCTGAACCGTGAATTTTATCCAGGCGGGAGCTTTCAAATCCTGCTGTAATTCCAGGACCAGGTTAAAGCAGCAGAAGCTGGCACAGCTACCGAAAGTGGTCCCACCTTCCCGTGAGGTGCTGCTTCTCTGCCCTCTGCAGCAGCCGATCCCTTGCGTCAGCACAAGCCTTGGTTCGGCCCTGCTGGGGAACTGATCTGACGTAAAACTAACCTGGAAGAGAAAGTGCCGTTCATTTTAACCTGGAGCGGTTCCCCGGCTTGACCCGATGCGCAGGCGCGTTGGCGGAAAGGAAGGGGTCAGCACGAAGAGGGCAGGGGCAGCTGGGGTGGAAGGCAGAGCCTTTGGTGGCACTGTGTAAGGTGGAGAGAGCATGTAAATCCATTGTAAGTCACTTTTCTGAAATAAATGATTTATGGAAAGCCAGAATATAAGAACAGGGAAGTATCATAAAAATTACTGGGGAAAAAAAAACTGAAAAAAAAAAAACCCAAACAAGCCAACCCACCCCCACAGATAACCAGTAGAGTCCTTTAAAGAATAAAACCTTTTCTTTAAAGATCTTCTCCCTTCCCCCAATGCCTTCTGCAATTTAGCAGTGACACAGGTTTTCATCAGCCTCTCGTTTAAAACAGGCAATAACAAGTCTGTAATTTCTTTACAGAAAGATTGCCCAGGACTTTTCCTGCAGCGCGCAGGACCGGCCCGCCCCAGCTCCTGCAGCCTCTGAGCAACAGTTTAAAATGCGATAATGCTGGAAAATAAACCCCAGCGCAGCATCCTTCTAAAATAAGTGTAAAATTTTAGGTGTGGCTGCACAGATTAAATGGAGGTGGAATAAATCATGCAAATAGTAATGAAAGTTGAAAGCAATTTGGTTGCACTTCAATACGTTTCATCAGTCATCTCTCTTCTGAAGTGGAAATGCCAAGCCTGATGCGAATTAAACTTTCTCCCTCCTCCCTCTCCCCTCTTTCCTCTAGCTTTTCAAAAGGCCTTTTGAAAACCTCTGAATACCTTTCTTGGCTGACCAGATTTTACCCTGCTCATGCTTCTTGAAACCTCCTAATTCTCAGCCCAGACAGTGACTCCAATTTGGAGAAGTCATGGGCTTGATTTGCATCCACGTTTCCTCTCTTGGCCCTTCCTTGTCTCCCTGCAAAAGGGAAAAAGGCTGAGATGAGGCACAGACAGGGACTGACAAGAGATAGAAGAGCTCCTTAGATATTTGGCTTTTTAGGGCAACAACTTTTAACGTTCACTTTTCCGCTTTAGGATCAAATGTCAGCTAGGACGGGGGTTGAAAGCAGCAGATTTCCAAAAGGAAGAGCTGACTTTCAGCAAAAGCAAGGAAATCTGATGCATCATTTGTACCCGAGTTGAGGCTGCTCCTGCCTTTGTCTCCCCTTCCCAGTTTGTCTGTTGTGTTTTTGCGAGCCGTGCAGCCGCTGTGTTAAAGCACGCATCTCCCCTCTTCTGTCTTGCAGGTAGAGGACGCCATGCTTATGTTTGACAAGACGACCAACAGGCATAGAGGTAAGAGAGAACGGGAGCTCAGACATCACGTTTTGTGACAGCTTCTGCATGGTGAGCTCAGCCAAAAATCAGTGTCAACATGATGACCCGGTGGCTAAATCCAGTGGTGCTAAATCAGCAGAGCCGTTTGTGTTTGAGACGGCTCCCTCTGTCCTGCAGGTGTTGCAGAGGAAGGGCTGTTTGGCATGTAAGGCCACGTCACGTGGATTTTCTTATTAGAGATGATTTTTCTGGTCAGTCTAATGACTTATCTTTGGGAGGACCATTGTCAGGCTCCGTGGCATCCCTGGAGATAGTAAAGCCCAAGGAGCTGTGTGCGGTGAGGCTGCAGGGAAGCAGAGGGTTTTGCACCAAGGTGGCTAGCATTAGGTTAAGCTGGGCATAAGGCCAGTTAAGCTGAGATACAGGGAAATGAAGGTGCTAAACCCCTCCGCTGGGGTTTCAAGCATGCTGGAGTTTTGAAGCTGAGGAGTGCTCGTCGTCCGGTGATGGTAGCTCAGAATAAGCAGGATCTCCAGAAGAGGAATTTCCCTCCACATATTTCACAAAGAGAGACAAGGTTTCATCATTGCTTGTACAGTTCTGTGAAAATGAGCTGAGGATTATTTTCAGTGTTATGGCCATTCCTTTCAGTGGAAATAAATGATGCTCCTCTGTCTCTCGGTGAGTGGTTCACATTATCGCTGCAGCAGAGACGCCGAGCTCCAGGCAGAGAGCAGCCTGGCAGCCGCTCCGTTCAGGTGGCTGGGGGTAAAATGTACCTGGGCTCTCACAGGGGCACCAGAAACTGCACTGGGGGCAGGCTCCGAGACCAGCTTCCCTCCTCTCCGAACGAGACTGATTTTATGCCCCCAGTCTCCTGCTTTAACACGGTGTGTGTTTGGAGGCAGTGGGGGAAGCCAGCGCAGCTTGTGGCTTCTGCCCCCGTGCGTCGGCGTGGACATGTAGCCCCAGACACTTAAGTTTACTCTTTGTGGGGGCTCACTTCATTAATACGGTTATTGTCTCAGCCTCGAGTGTGTCAGCTACTCGGAGTGGTGTACGTAGCCCATTTGTTTAGGGAGGCTGCCAGAGGGTGTAAAGGAGCCCGTGCCCGGCCAGGCAGCGATGGGAGCCCTGGGAACGGGAGAGGGGAGCAGCCCAGAGTGCCCGGCTGCTGCCGCCTCGTCTACATCTCCATGGCAGGGTCAGAAGACCTGACCTCCCAGTGCTGTCGGAATTACTCACTGTTCTGATATTTGCCTTAACAAGCAACTTCATGCATGCGGATGGCTGGGTGAGTCAGGCGAACCTCCAGGATAGCATTCCCTCCCTCCAGCAGTTCCCTCCCAGGCGCTGATCCCTCTCTGAAGTCAGGGATCGTAGTACCCTGGAAAATTCAGCAGCAGCGAGCAAAAGACTTGCTTGGAAAGATAAGCTCTTTGGAGCCAAGGAAGGCATGTGAACAGCCAGTGCCCATCAGTTTTGTAACCAAGTGTTTAAAACTCTTATATAGTTCGGAAAGTTCAACCCCTGACAGGGTCCTTTTTTTATCCAGGGAATTTTCCACCCTTCTCTTTGCAACCACCCTTAAACGGGCTGTGAACAGCCAGTGCCCATCAGTTTTGTAACAGGAACCAAGTGTTTAAAACTCTTATATAGTTCGGAAAGTTCAACCCCTGACAGGGTCCTTTTTTTATCCAGGGAATTTTCCACCCTTCTCTTTGCAACCACCCTTAAACGGGCCATAAATACCCTTCTCCGAATCTTGGCACACTGTTTGTTGCGTTTAAGAGCTGCGTTATGTGGTGCTTTTGTGCCGGCCACAAAGGCCCCGCGTCCCTGCCCTGACGTGGTCTGCTGGCAGCTGGGCTCAAGGAGTACCGGGGGGCTCTGGTCCCAGTAAGGCACGTACTCAGCAGATTTGCCCCCTGTGGATGTGTTTCAGCGAGTCTTCTGCCTGTTTTTGTTTGTATTCCTCGTTTTCTGCTCTTAAACTGTTCTCTTAATCTGGCAAGTTTACGCAGCGTGCATCAGATAGGCTGGCAATGCATCCTGGCATCCATCTCCGTGCCCTGTCCGTTTGAGGCTTTTGCAGCCTGATTTGCAAGTCCCTGACCTGCAGTTTCTTGTCTCTGCCTCTGTCACCCCGCAGAGCAGGTCTCCGTCCCTCTCCAAGGGTGCAAGGGGCTCCACGTGGACAGCCTGTCCTGGGGGACGTCAGCCTGTCCTGCAGCACAACTGCAGCCCATCGGCAGGGCTGGGTGGCCCCAGCAGCTGCCTTGTCCCCAGACAGGGGCTCTGGTCCAGAGACAGGGGGAGAAAGTCTCCATTTGCTGAAATGTCCCAAATCCTGGAATTTTGTTCCCACTGAGGCTGTGCCTGCAGTGAGCTCTGTTCCTGCCCACCAGACTCACTGGCGGTCTCTTCAACAGCTTGTGCCTGCCTTGACTGGGCTCCACTGCTGCGGTAGGCAGGAGACTCTGCAGGGACATTAAAAATAGAGCAATGGTGTGTTAGTCCTTCCTTTGCTTCCTGCAAGCAAGACGCTCGTCTCTTCCCCGCGTGCCTCAAGGTGATCCCCCCTCTGTCCCCCGCCGGTGGCACTGTGCTGCTGTAAGCACTTTCCAAGGTGTGCGGGCACCGGGAAGCGGTGGTGGTTGTGCTCTGCTAGTGCTGAGCTCTGCTCTAACGACTCTGCTTCAGCTTTCCTGTGCTCTTGGGGGAAGCTGGAATAGCACACTGGGGAGCCCTGCTATCAGGTGTGAACCTGAGCGATAAGCCCCAGAGGATGGATTCCTCTTTCCAAAGCATCTTTCCGCTACCTTATCTGGAGAAGAGGTGCATAACTGCTGAAGTTGAGGCCTCCAGATGTAAGGGGGCACCTTAGCTGTCGTGAAACCTTTTGTTTTTTGCACAAAGGGCTTTTTCCCCACAATGTGTATTAAAGATGAGAGGCAGTAGGTCTTCCTTTTTTCCCCCAGGAATTCTGTGATTTATTTCATTGGTTAATTTTTTTTTTATAGCCTGTTTTTCCTACATGCAAGCCATAACATTTCTCTTCGCATTAGCATCCTTGTGTAAGCTCCTAGATGAGATCTAAGGGGGGAGGAACTAAGAGTCCGAAAGGACCAAAAACAAGCTCCAAATGCCGTTAGGTGGAGGTGATGTTACCCACACCTCCCGTATGCTCCACTGGAGTCAGGCTCCGGACCCGGGTCTGTCCCGCTTGCTTGTGCCGTCCTGGGGGCAGGGTGGGCTGGACCCCCCCTGCTCCTGGCAAATAAGGGAGCTCTCTGGCACCGGGAGGGCCAGCTCTGTTTGTGAGGCTGTATCCCAGGGAACAGGCTTACCCTTTTGCTGGGTGAAGGACAATGCTGCTTATTCGCTGGGATTAGCCAAAATTCCTGTGAATTCGGGTGAAGCCTGGCCGGTGCCGAGGGTCTGCGGCTGCAGCAGCTGCCAGAGGGGCATGAAAGTCTGAGCTCTGGGTCTTTACCTCTGCCAAATACAGGTGGAAGGAAGAAACAAGTGTAAAAGGCAGGGTAGAGAGTCATCTTCATCTTCGCGCTTGACTTTATCTAGTCTTTTCAGACATTTTTTCCTTCTCTGTATGGGTAGCTACCACTAATCAGGCTAATAAACTGGCTAGTGGGCTGTTGTGATGAAGTGAGTTCTGCTGCATCGATCGTTTATAAAATCACCCCAGATTTTACAAATTGTGACATTCTGATTGTGTTGGAGACATGTTTAAAATGCGGTAGCGTGCAGCAACAGTGTAAATGGCAATTCTTAAAACCACTTGTGGGTTGCAATCTGTATCTTCAAATTAGCCACGGGACAGAGAAATGGCAGATAAAATATCCATTGTGGTTTACTGTAGTTAGTCTATGCCTAGAATAATCAACGCAGGCAAGGGAAAGGAAAAGTATTAAAATTCACTCCCTACTGCTAGGAGGCGGGATAAATTTCCTTGCAAGCAAATTGAGAATATTTGTTGACATAGTTCTGGCACGTGCGTGTTACTCGCGTGTGTGTATTCTGATAGCGTGTAACTCTCCTGCACGCGCGGCCAACACCGATTAGTTAGTGGGAATGCAGAGATTTAACCAGACGTAGTAAGAGGGATTTTCAAAGCTGCTCATCGTTGAACGGTTTTATTAATACCTTGGGAAGGCTTGAAAACCCCACCCAAAATGAAACTTAATGCCTTGCCAATGGAGCCCATAACTTTTATAACATTAAAAATGTCATCAAGCTAACCACGTTGTTGCCTCTGCTGGTGTCTTGTTCTTTTTTAATGTCCAACTGTTCCTGGATGTTCTCTAAGGAAAATAAGAGTCAGGGCTATTGTATTTTATGCCTGTCTGTCTAGCCGTATTAATGGCAGGCTACAAAATCTGTGAGTATTGAATTGAAGGAGTGGTTAATTTTGGGGGTATTGTAGGTAAAACAATCCCTAGCTTTGCTGGGATGCCGTGTCTTCTTGCAGGGGTTCTCCTTCTAGCTTGGCCACTTAGCTGTGATAGTGGGCACGCAGTGCACTAGCACTTAGAAGGCAAATATCTCTGGGTCGCCTTAGTTAAGATGCTGTTTCTTTTTAGAAAGAAAGTGTTGGTAATCCTCTATTTCTGTACCCTTTACTGTACTTTTGCACTTCTGTACATGGAGCAAAACCACAGACAGAAGTTCTCCAAACGCTCTGGAAGATCACTTCCATCACCTTCTTCACTGCCTAAAATTTCATAGAGCTGAAAATTACTGGGTCAGTCGTGAAAGGATTAGTAATTGGAAAGAAAAAAACCAGGGCGGTGTTATTTTGTTACCCTTGCAATGTGCAGATAAAATCTGGAGTTCAGCATTAGTTATTGATCTTTGGGGTTGGAGGGAGCCTGGCAAGACGATGATGTCCTTCTAACTTCATTACGGAAGGGAGCTCCGGAAAGCATACCAATTTGCCACCGAGCACGTTGAACAGCAGGAGCTGGACGGGGCAGCTGCCTTGCCCTTGCGCTTTGCCC